GAATCAATAGCAAAAAAAAATTAAAAAATCAGAAACTAAGTACCTAGTTTTTGGAAAAATTAACCGGAGACCTAGTTTTGGGCTCGTATTCGGTTATTCGAATAATTTATTCGGTTTCTGCCCAGGCCTACTTTCGGGTTTTGCATGAAACGAAGTATTAGATTAACTTCAAAGTTGCTTGCCTCTGGCTTCAGGTGGCATAAATTTGAAAGTGTAGGCTAAAATATTATTGCATTCTCATCAAATCGACGAAAACGTATAACTATGAGTAGTCCAACGTTGCCTAAACGCCAGAAGACGGAGAAAGATAACGACAACGATGCTGAGAAGACAATGACAGTTGTCAATACTCCAACTCCGAGTGCTGCTGCTGCTTCTTCTACCGGTGGTCATGGCGATAGCAGTGAGAACAGTGATTCGTTTTGCTTCAGTGATTCTGCAAACCTAGAAGACGTGTACGTATTATTTTGAAATGAAGCTATTAAATCCTAGGGTCTTCTGGGGAAGTGATATATAGATCTAGATTCTAGATCTAGATCTAGATCTAGATTTCTAGATCTAGATCTCTAGATCTAGATTTAGATCTTCTAGTGTAAAATGCACAGAGCGTGCTATCGAATGGGAACATTCTACTGTTAGTCAAACTCTAAGGATTTAGATCTAGATCTAGAGATCTATATTATAGATCTATGGCCACGCAGGGTGAGAATGACCCATGTCACGCTATATGAGAATAGCTCCCACCCCAGTGTGGGCGTGAGGCGAGGATCCCCCCCCCCGACCTCTCGCAGGCCTATAAAATCACCTAGGCCCTTATTTACCGTATGTGGTTGGGAACGAATAATAATGTAAAAACATTTTTCGCCTCTCCAGTAAAAAAAAAGGCTCACTACCGACGCTACTGAGCGGGATGTGGGACCCGCCTCCGCCCGGACTTTTTGTTGTTTACACACATAACGGTTCTTTTGATTCCGTTCATCAAACAGGGTACCCAGCTAGATTCTAGATCTAGTATTTTATACAACAGGACAGATGGGATCGGCAGTTTTTCCCTATAAGCTAGATCTAGATTCTATATATATAGCGAGACCTATTATAACCGTTATCAAGGTAAAATCACAAGTAACATTGCACTTTCAGCTTACTATATTATAATATATATTCGATTGCTGCAGATCCTTTTCCAGTGGGCTGTCTTGCTGACACTGAGACGGAATCGATCAGTGACCCCAACATTGTCACTATATGGGGGCAGGGGGGGGGGGTTGAAAGTTTGTGTTTCTAGGCAAGCGGTCGTACTAACTGGCAAAATGTCTTGGTTGAGACAAATTTTAATAATTTGACTGATCGAAAGCAACTTCATAAGCTGCCAGACCACTGTTTTAAAAGCTATCCAAGTCTGCGCAAATTGAACCCTTTTTAACAACGGCTATATATATATATAGCCAGGTTCATAAACTTACACTAATTTATATAGTAGAGAAAAAAAACGGAGACTTGATTTATCACTTATATATATATCTGTAATAACACAGGCTGTTATAAATGAACTGGACTATATGATGCACTATTCAATTGCTATTTATTACTTATTATAAATTATAATGTAGACCTAATATATTATATATATATAATAATATATAAAATAATAATAGTAATAATAATGTAATGATAATATAGAGAAATCTTCTTATAGCGAGAAGGAGAGGAATGATGGGAAATAATGTGTTATAGCAGGATTCACGTTATAAGGGATCCAGTAATAAATTCAAGGAAAATAATAAATAAAGTAAGTCTAATCTATGAGTTTGGTGTTTTGTTTATTTCTTTTTGTTATCTCCCCTGATGATGATTTTGTTCAACATGAACTCTTCGTCTTACTTTTGATCAAAAATCGTACCGGGTTTCTTTCTCAAACGCAAACAATGTTGACAGCTCAGCGTTGGCGATCAGAAAGAAAGGGCTCATGGCTGACTCGCCCGCTATGTTGTCCCCCACCCCACCTCACCCTGTGGTGTGTTCCATCTGCTTGCGCACGTCACACTTTCACTCCATTCATCACATTGCTGTGACCTCTCCATCCCCGCATTGGAGAAGTAAGAGACATGGTAGGCCTTGATAATTCAAACTAGGCTTACGCTGGCCTATCACGCGATGCGTTCTGCTTGTCTGCACATGCCACACCCTCCCTACTCAGTCACTCCGGCCTTCATTGTTGACACACATGGGCTCTCCCATTTTTTGTTTCGCTAGATCACCAACTAGTTTCTCAACTGGCGAGTTTTCACATTAGGCTATAATTGGCCCATGCACTGCGCACAGTAGCTGCAATATTCCGCTATAACCGACTCGCGTGCCTGTCTGATTTGAGCTATAGCAGTATTTTATTTATAAAGGTAAAGAAGAGAAAAAAACGGGGTTTTAGAACAGTGTCATTATAACAGACTTCTCGTTTTTTCCGGACTCGTTATAAGTGGACTCCACTGTACCCAAAAAAGGG